ATAATGGCTGAAAAAAACATATACGGTACAAAAAAAAAGAAAAAATTGCGTACTGTGGAAAAATTCATGAAATGAAAAAAGAAAAAATGCCCAGCCTTTGGAAAGACGTGTTCAAAGTGTTTAAAAAAATCACTTCAAAGAAGTATGTAAAACGAAAAATGTGGAAAGAGTAGAGGATGAAAATAGACAGATTTTTAATGTAAAAAAGGATAATATACAAAATACTGGATCTAAGAACGGAGATACAAAAATAAAAGTGAAAATCAACGACTGTATTGTCGAAATGCAAATCGACACAGGTAGTGACGTCACGATAGTACCCAGAAATTTGTGGGGAAAAATGGGAAAACCGTTTTAAAAAAACCCACGTACAACTACGTCAGTTTGATGGCTCGATTATAGCAATTATGGGTTACTTTGAAGGTTCAATAGAATTAAAAGAAAAATATGAAATAGTACCCATTATAGTTACAAATTGCCGAAAAACGCATGGACTACTGGGGAATGACGTGTTAAAAATAAATTCAACGAAGTTGATTAATGAGATAGAAATAGAAAAAACAGGAAAATTAAAAAACTATGAAGCTAGCTTGAAATTAAAAGATGTTTCCCCCTCCTACTACGAAGCGAGAAAAATACCAGTGCATTTATTACCGTTGGTAATAGCTAAATTGCGAAAGCTAATAAAGGAAGACTTATTAGAACCTGCCCCTCCAGGAGGAAGTAAATGGGCATCACCCATTGTGGTATTGAAAAAAAAAAAGATGGTGACCTGAGAATTTGTGGAGATTATAAAATAGGGGTGAACCATAAAGTTTGTGCTGACTCGTAGCCTATTCCGAATGTGGAAGTAGCTTTACATAAACTTGCTGGAATGAAAGTATTTTCGAAGATAGACCTAAAATCAGCTTACCACCAAATACCGATAAATGAAAATTTTAAAGAGGTGACGACCATAAACACACCTATAGGCCTGTTAAGGTGGAAAAGAATGCCGTATGGCATAAAAACGGCAAGTGCAATTTTTCAAAAAGCTATTGAAAAGTAATAGGAAATGTTGAAAATACCATCTGTTATCAAGACGATATATGTGTTGGAGATTTAAATGAAGATGATTTAAAAGAAAAAAACTGAAAATATACTGAACCGGCTGAGAGACGCTGGTATGACAAAAAAATACAAAAAAAGTGTGTAACCAACAGTAATGAAATATCATTTTTGGGTTACTCAATATCAAAGGAAGGATCTCACCAGATAAAAGTACTAATAGAGAAAATTCTAAAAGTTGCTACACCGAAAAATAAAAAAGAGTTGAGTCCTTCTTAGGTTTGGTAAATTTTTATAGAAAATATGTACCAAAATATAATGAGTTGACAGAGCCATTTGCTAAGTTAAGAAAAAAAATGTGGAATTCATTTGGTTAGAACACCAACAGAAAGCCTTTGAAAACTTAAAACAGATTCTGGCAAATAAGCCAATAGTACAAATTTTTGACCCTAAGAAGGACATAACTCTAACTACTGACGCTAGTGAGCAGTCCATATCTGGTATTTTGTCACAAGATGGGCATCCCATAATGTACTTATCGAGGAGATTAACAACAACTGAACACAATTATTCGAATATAGAAAGGGAGGCACTAGCCATAGTGTGGACAACGCATAGAGCAAGACAGTTTTTGATGGGAAAAAATTCTTGTTGAAAAGTGATCATAGACCACTGGAATTTATTTTCAACCCAAGAAAAGAGCTACCGAAAGTTACAACGTCCAGAATATTACGTTGGGCGATTAGACTGATGGCGTTCGACTTTGACATTGAATATGTTAAAGGGAATACGATACCGCATGTTGATGCCTTATCTAGATTGAGGTTTTATAGAGAGGAGGACAAAACGACGAGGAATTTGAAGACACTTTCTTGCACCTTGTAGAAACCGATGTAATATCTGTAGATAAAATGGCTACTGAAACTACAAATGACCCAGTGTTAAATAGAATAATGTCGAGGATAAAACAGAATCGCTGGGGAAATTGTTCAATGGCTGAAAGACCATTCAAAGAAATTAGACATAGAATGACTATAGAAAACGGGATAATATGTAATGGAGACTTGGTAGTTCCCCAGAAACACAGAGGAGACAGGTTATAAAAAGTGTACACGATGACGTACATTGTGGAGTGGCAGCTACGCAAAGAAGATTAAAATTGGAAGCCTGGTGGCCGGGGTACTCAAGAGACGTAGAAGACTACGTAAAAAGATGCAAAAAATGCACAGAACTCAGGAATTTTAAGTAAAAGAAAATACATGTATGGCCCAGAGAAGTAGAACCATGGAGCAGAGTACACATGGACCATGCCTATGTCAATGGGATAGGACTATTATTAATATCAGTAGACGCATATTCAGGTTGGCCTGAAGTGGTGAGAGTACCTGATAAAAAAAGTACCACCGTAAAACAAATATTAAGAGTAATATTTTCGAGGAATGGGACACCGAGAACATTGGTGACTGATAACGCACCAGAATTTGTGGATGCTGATTTGCATGAATGGCTAAGAAAAATAGGATGCAGACCTTACAAGACCCCTCCCTACCACCCTCAAAGTAATGGGGCAGCGGAAAGGATGGCCCAGACGGTAAAGAAGGGCATAAAAGCATGCTTGCAACAGAAGGAGGAAATCGATGCTTTCCTACCAAGATTACTATTAAGTTACAGAACAATTCCACATGCAGGCAGGCAGGAAAGTCCATCTGCCTTAATGGGCAGACAATTAAGGTCCCCTTTGACTATGTCATATGCCACAAATCAAAAGATGTGGTACAAAAGAAATAGGAATATGCAACCCGAGTCAGACGAATTTATTATGCAGAAAGGACATAATACTGCAATATTAAATAAAGAAAATGGGAACAGTGTTCTAGCTCATGCTGACCAAATAAGATCCCAAGGAGAAGAATCGGATGAGGAAATGCCTTCAGAGATGCCCATTATTGATGTAACAGAAGAGTTAATGCAGAATGAAACTGCGGATGAAGTAGAGAGAGATGAGTTAGAAGAGGAAGACCAGAGTATGCAAGAGGAACAATTCGATTATAGGGAAAGGCGTGATAGATCTAGATCTCCAAGGGAAAGGAGAGAGATAAAGGAAGATGTTCAGGAGGGCACAAGAAGAAGTACAAGAAGTACTCGCGGCATAAGGCCCCTCCGTTATAGGGAGATGTAGTGATATGCAAATTAGTATAATTTGCATATGAGCAGGTAGCTCATATGATAAATGGTCACCAACTAGAACGGAGGTGGAAGAAAAACTTAGCAGGATACACGACATAATAATAACAAAGACATCCGCTAAAATTTATCCCAGCATGCTTCATTGTTTAAAGCTCAGGCGCAAATTTGTATGAGCGCTGCTCCATCACAAGATGGCCTAAAAGTTAAAAACTTTTACCCTGTGTTTCAGACCTTAGGCTTTAATTTCCAATGTGTTATTAGCTTCTCTCAGTTAATATTTTTTTTATTTATTTTATTCATTTATTTATTTATTGTTAAAACAGGTCTCTGACATTGCATTACGATTTGCTGCAGCCCGGTGAAATTGATAGTGCAGGGCATTACCTTCGTCACCTTCAAAGTTTGAGGTACAATTGAAAAGAAAAAAGTAATTTAATGGTAGAATTTGTGGACGCATACAGGAGAGAATGGGAGAAAGGATGTAGTTATGTATGTATATTTATGTATCCAAATGTAGTAGCCGCTTGCTTAACAATGTAGGTAATGAAGGTATGTATATTTTCAAATGTATCAGCGAGTTGCTTAAAAGATGGCTTTTAAATATAGAAGGTCGGTGTAGACATCTCTGGTCGCCAGCTGGCCACATCTCACTTCTGGTTATATTACGATGACTGCAGAATCGGAGGATGGATAAAATTATTTATCGATTCTTAGTTTGATTTTTCCTCTCTTTATATACATATCCTCTTCGAAAGTGCCGCTTTGTTTCTCATTGGGTCGCTGCCTTAATATCATGGTTGTGAAGAAATTTATGATTGGTTGGTCTAAATATGTTTTTTTAGACTTGGTAAAATTTTGGTCTCCTTATTTATTTACTACAATTTAAAGAAGAGAAAAGTCGGAAAGTCACCACATGACGCCACACATTCACATGTTACTTTACTGTCCGTCCCAAAAATTTCATAATATACTTGGGATGAGAAATTTTTGTCCTCATACGGCATAAGTTACTGGACTTTGCATCATCAGATTAATCATTTCCTTAGATTAACGTAGCATTTGTGATCTGGTAAAAAATTTAAAGATTCTTCGGTGTTCAAAATTTAAATCACAACTTTATAGAAAAAAACTGGAATATAGGCGGAAGGTAAAAGCAAATCAAGGTAATTATTTTGATAAATAATAAAGATATGTATCAGAATATTCCACAAACCCGAATAAATTATTCTATATGTAAAGTCCGGCGTTGCTCGGGGTTTTAAGAAGTTACATTGCTTTGGGGTTTGAATTATTGAACTTACACACGTATCCACAGTTGTTGAGGTCACTGATAGGCCGGGAATCTCACTGGTAGCAAAATCAATGAAATCAAAGGCAACAGGATGCAATAGGTTGCTGCTGTGTTGCTACTCCGTGCTTAACTGAAGACGGCCACCCGTTCATAATCGGTCAAGATTTTTAATTCTGGCAATGTAAAATAGTGGTTGCGTTTTCACTGTAGGACTCCCCCCCTTCACTATTAAGTCCATAAGTTTTCCCAGTTTTAAGCGGAATACGCGGGCAGTAATGTCATGTCTGTGAGTGTAATCCTGTCCGGGTAGGAGTTCACGCGTTATCTGAACCCATTCGGGGTTGCAGGTAAACGTTATAAATAAGTCTGGCCGCTCATATTGCCTAACGTATATCATAGCGTCCTGCGTGCGTTCATGCATGTAACGTCCCCCCACTCATGAAACTGTAAGTAGAGAGCAGAATGCACAGCTTCCCTAGGTTGCGAGGATTGCCTTCATTTCGAAGGCTGTCGCGTTAGTGTACGTAGGAGTCTGAGCGCAGCTCTTTCTGATGATTCCGTATAAAACAAAACCTCTCCGATTCCATCTTAGCGGCCATGTCAACCGCAAACTGGTGGAAAAGCTCCCTGCATCTATGAACCAGGTTGAAGCCTTCTTCCCTAACCATGAAACAGTATGAGTAGAAGGCCTTGCACTATAAGGCTTTGGAAGACGTTGTAGGTTGGCCACCCGGAGTATGAAGTGGTAGCCATTGTCACCATAAGGGAAAAGTAAAGGGTACTGCAATGCGTCATATGATCGATGGGTCTCTGAAATCCTGCGAAGAGCGCCGCCTCTTGATTTGAGGACAATATCACGAGTGCGGTCTTGCTCCCCAGGAGCATTGTAGCGGCGTTCGTGTTCATCATGAGGCCGTTTGTCGGCGTCAATCACAATGCTGATGGAAGGAAAGGGAGCATTTTCCAAAGAATATTTGAAACTGTGAATGTAGCTGTTAACATCGTGAAGCATGGCCTGAAGTAGTAGTATGACGTCCCTGCGAGGAACTCTTCCCGACGGCGGCAAAATACCAATACGAGTTTCGGCCTGTAGGTTATAGTCTGCAAGTACAGTTGAAGGAATTTAGGCGTAGAGGTCTCTTCAGGCATCTAGTGCGGTGGTATACCTGCCCCTGTACTTTGAAAGTGGGCATCCAACCCTCTTCTCGAACCACCTGAGCCCCAAATGAGGTCATTTGAAAGGAGTTGTTGTATTGCCTAATTGTTTTAAGGAAGTGGTTGGAGTCGGGATGGGAGCCGGCTATTAGTCCCCTCAACGGGGTGGGTGGTTCATGCAGAGATGGCAGTCGAGCTTTGCCGGAGGAGCAGCACAGACCGGCAGGCTCCCCGGCCCATTTGCGGGCGTTGCAGAATTGGCAAACGAAGGTCATGGACCCTATATTGATGTCGTCACGCGTAGTTAAGTTAATGCCCGGGTCGTAATTGAAAGACAAGAAAGACCAAAAAGAGCTACTGGGATAGGTAAAACCACGGGCTGCCGCAAGGCACTGAATGTTGCCGTCGAGGCATATGCAGCGAGCTTGGGGAGTTTGAGATACGCGCAGAGCGTCTATGTTTGTAGCAGCCCTTGAAAGTCTGTTTGCCCTTGTCTGTGGGCCCTCGGAGTTTCTGGCAGCAGAAGTCGCTGCAGCGTTGCGGACATTGCGGGCATTGCCTGTTGCCCGCTGCAGACCTGTCTTTGTCTCGGACTCCCTCGACCTAGCTGTTGCAGCAGCGTCCCTGGATTGACGGGCGCGCCTGCGGTCAAATGTTTCAGCTGCCCTCGACCTGACAGTGGTGGCAGCATTCCTAGCATTTCACACAGACCTACGGAGCGGTGTCTCAGCAGCCCTAACAGTCGCTGTTGCAGCAGCGTCTCTGGATTGACAGGCGCGCCTGCGGTCAAGTGTCTCTATTGCCCTTGATTTCGCAGTGGCAGCAGCGTTTCTTACGTTACGAAGAAGCCTTTGATGATGAGTCTTGGAAGCCCGAGATGCAAAGGCGGTTGCTGCAGACTGTGCGTGCATTCTCGACCGTTGTGCATTCTTGAGCCTTGATCACAACGAAGCCCTGTAGGCAGCTTTCCCAGCCATGCAGGTGGCGCGCTCCTCTTGTGACTGCGAGGCCTGCGTGAGGGCGCTGCCTGGAGCGACCTGTGATAGTCGCATTGTAGTCTGCTCCTGGGACTCGCGGGCCCTTCTTGCCCTCATAGCGGACGCTCTTGCATAATGAAGGTTAAGACGTACCCTCCTTTTTGGCGGCATGGGGAAAAGTGATGATAGTAGTGATTGATTAGGGTTGCTCAATTGCAGGAGTACAAAGTCTAACTTAGTATCGCAAAGCGTGAGCCAGAATCGGGAAGGCAGGTATTTAAGTAAAACACCTAAAAAAATTGTTTATTGTAGTTGAAAAAATGTAGTTAAACAGACAAACGGAAAACAAAAACGTAAGAAACAACTTGCGGTAGGAGAAATGATCAGTTGAAGGAGCCTATCATATCAACCGGATGGCGGCGTAACAGGAGCAGAAGTGAGACCTTCGTCCCACAGCTGTTGTGCACAGTAGGTTCAAATGCGAAGTATCACTGGCCAATCGGTTGTGCCAGTCAGCGAGCGTCCTAGGGTCTCAAACACCAATCAGCGACCGCGTACTGCACTCAGCCAATGGGATACCGCTATGTGAAGCATGGTCACGCGTGTAGAGTCTGTAGTGTAAACGTCTCAGTTGAACATACGTTTGATTGGTGTATTCGCAAATTCAGGTGAAGACATGATTGTATCGAATCCCTCAGGTATTATTAGTTAGTCACAAAGGAGCTCACAGGGCAAAAGTTTTTAATTGTCACGACTAAAGCCGATAAATTTAATCAAAATCCCAAGCAAGTTGCGAAAAACATCGCCAAATTCAGATAAACTCGATTTGAATGGGAAGTCAAAAGGGGTATGATTTCATCGATTTTTATCCGATAATTGAAACCGATATTTCAAATGAAAGTCAGCACCTCAATAATGTCGGTAAATATTATGCTCAACGTGAATTTTGATGAAAATTCTTCGCCATTTGCGAAAAATATAGCCAAAAATCAGCTAGAATGGACTTGAATCGGATATCCCAAAGTGATCGATTGTATCGATTTTTTTCCAGTAATTGATATCGATATTAAAAATGAATGTCAGTACCTCATAACAGTTGATAAAAACAATGCTCAACGTAATTTCGGTGGAAATTCTTCGCCATTTGCGAAAAATATAGCCAAAAATCAGTCAAAAGTGGCATGATGTTATCGATTTTTTCCGATAATTGATACCGATATTGAAGAAAAAGGTCAGCAACTAATAACTGTTGATAAAACTAATGCTCAACATGATTTTTGTGAAAATTCCTTGCAGTCTGCGAAAAACAGAGCCAAAAATCAGCTACATTGGATTTCAATCGAATGTCCCAAAGTGATCGATTTTTTTCCGATAATGATATCAATTTTTAAAAACAAAGAATAGCACCTCAAAACTATAAGTAAGGACATTGCTCAACGTGAGTTCGGTGGATATCACTTGTAGCTTGTGAAAACTATCACTAAAAAACTGATGAATTTTTTCAAATCAATATTCGACCCCATATCGGTTTTATCGATTTTTTCCAAAATCAGAGGAACAATCGAAAAATCTGAAAACGTCAAGTACGAATGCCGTAAATTTCCGATCTGTGTGTGAATTTTCATGCCAACTGGACGAACGGTTTGCTCAGGAGAAGGTAACAAGGTGACAAACACAGAGACACACTAACAGAATGCCATTTATAGATACAGATATGAGCTTCTATATATTCTATAACCTTCATCAATCTTCCAACCATTGATTTTAACTTTCTACCGATTATGTTTTAACATTTGCAACAGTTTTATTGCTTTCCATAGACCGTAGCTTAACGCATTAAAGCGTTTATTTTACATATCAAATATTCACTTTTCAACATAACCTCTTTCCTTTTCAATGCACTTAATCCGACATTTATCCATTAATCACAAAGAACGAACATTATACAGTGAAGGTATCAGATTAAATCCAATTAATAACTATGCCAGGCTACAGTGTAAATGATCCACTCTCGTATATACGTACAAATACATACTGATATGAGTGTGTGTGTGTGTGTGCATTTTGTAAGTTTATTAAATATACCTTCATTAATATAGTATGCAAGTAAAGATCCTGAGTCGATTCTTAATTATTAGTTGCTCGTTACTAGCATTCAACTCTGAATTCTGAATGCTTTGCGCATATTATTAACTTTCTCTGCTGCGATTGGACAACTCGAAACCGCCCTAAAATGCAGGTCTCTCCTTCAGTTCGCAATGACTCGTAGCTGATTGCTTTCATCAGTGACGGGTCGTTGTTAATAATCAAGGGAGCTTTCAGCTTGCAAAGCAATTAAAATCATCCCCAAATTGCAAGGGGGGTGGCTTTTCTGCTACTTAACCCTTTCAATAAGGCTTGTAACAAAAACACTATTGGGGTAAATATGATTCAAAGTGTCTACTGGGACAACGTTGTCTTAGATGTTGAAGTGAAACGAGAAATAAAATTAAATTATGCTTTTCTTATTTTATACACGCTCATATTACAATTAATAAATCTATAAGGTATAAAATTACTATACATTTAATTTCGGGCTAAAATAATCTGGAGGATAAAAATAAATTATGACATAAATAAATTATAGTGTTTTAGTTGTTAAGTTTCAAATAACATAAAATTCTATTTCTGTTACGTCATCAGAAGATATGTTCAATTATGTGGTGAACTCTTCCGATGACGTAGAAAGGTGATACAGTCTTATAAAAATAACAAACACTTTTAATTCTCCTTAATTTTTAGAAAATTAATGCGGGGATTGATGGAAATATTTGTACTCTTAAAGTAAAAAAGATCTTTCACATAATATGTATAAATAATATAAATTGTAATAGATGACATGTGGCCACAGTTTTATGAATTTTACGGAATTTATTTTACGGATATGTTTCACATTATTAGCCATGTTACTGAAACTCCAGGAAATATTATGTTGTAATTGAAAATTATAATTATAGAATGTGTATACAGTTTACAAAGACAAACATTTTGAATAAAAACAAAATGAAAACTATCATTTGAACAACGACAAATTTATAATGACAACACGAAGGTAAAATGTCTGATCCATGTTCTGAAAGTTGTTTTTAAAAGTGATTCATTCATTAATTTTTCGGTATGTTTTTTAATATGACACAGACTAGGCACGGGGCCACAAAATAAGGTGGGAGCTAAATCAGTTGTTTTAATATTCTTGATTCTGTATTTTTGTATCCGATTCTTTCATAAAATGAAGAAGTGCTACTATAGGGATACAGAAGACGATTATCTCCCTTTGATGGAGATAAGTCACGTGGTTATGTGACGACCGCGTAAAGCCGTCACTATACAGCGACGAAAGCAGCAGCCAATTTTCAGTTTTGTTTACAGCAGCTAAAACGAAAGGTTGCTTTCTTTAGCCCGGGCCCACATGGTCCGGACAGAGGTTAAATCTGCCTCCCCCAGCAGCTTACAAGTCCATAGTTCTGTTTCCCTTTGGGTTATATATCTTTCCTAAATATAGAATGAAACGCCAGTTCGCAGTCCTCAATTTGGGAAAACCCAAGACTCGCTGTGGAATATGTCCGCGCCTGACACATAGATGAGTCTGGCCCGTTGTGAATCTGGAGTTTTAAACATCGCTTCTCTAGACACAAGAGTATCTTCATATTATATATAAGACCTTTCTTTTTGTCTCTCCTTACACTCTGTTTTGCTATGTGATATATTCTCCTCGTGAGACATATGTACATATGCATATATAGTTTGCGTGTATGTCCTAGTAGTATAAATGACTCTCTGAGAACAAAGCATGTTTGTCATTCTTTTTTCCTTTCAGCCATTCCATCCGTCTGGGAAATACGGTGTTATTATATCACGGATATAATAATGCTCATAATGGGGGAAATGAAATGAGAGAATAATACTTTCTACTATGGCTGTCTCCTGATACACTACTTAAGTGTGTAATCTACATGCATGATTCTTCTTAAATATATCATCTACCTTAAAGAAAATTATCTTATATTTTCTACACAAACCAGATGTGGACCACTCGACTACCCAAAGCATACTGCGTATATACGTTTTCTGCGCATCGGCTCCACGAATACACCCGCTTTAACCAAAACAAAATTATATATAATGACCAGTCAGAGCCACTTCCGCTCAAAAAACAAAACCTTAATTTTGAGCCGACTGAAACTATATATACCCAAATTCAAACAGCCTTTGATGTCAACACTGACACGCTGAAAGAGAGAGAGAGAGAGAGAGAGAGAGAGAGAGAGAGAGAGAGATACCACCGACGACGAACACCACCAACAAATGTCCATTTCGCTTCTAATTTCAGCACTCTCTCTTACTGTTGCATTAGCAACAGAGAGAATTTACTAGTTTTTATATATATATATATATATATATATATATATAACTTATACATTTATTTACCCTTACTCAAGATTCTTTTTGTTTGATGCTTGGATTTACGTTTACCGAAGCGGAGAAGGAATTAACCTCCACAACAGTAACAACAACAATACCGTTCTGTCTTTCAGGTTATTCATTTCCACCTCTGCAACAATATCTATTTTGAATGTAGATTTTAAATGTAGAGAATTTTTCTCAACTCGTAGATTACATATTTTATGCATTGTTCTGGTAGATCATAATCGGAAGGTAGATCACATACTTAAGTAGCAGCAAAGAATATTTTTCGCACCTATTAGCCGACTATAAACATTTGTTGTTCTGTTTTAAATGCACTTTTTGTTGCTGTCCGTTTGTACTTATTTTCTGGAATGCGATCTATAAATTTTTTTCCACTTATAAGACATAAAAATTGTGGAAGCCAATATTTCAGGAAAAAAAGGAGAGAAAATAAGTTTTCTGATTTATTTTGAAAATTAATGGCAGTAATGAATAGAATTGTCATAGATTGAGGGAAAGAAGACAAATTCAGACCTAAGTTTTGTTTTCAGTTTTAGAAAATAGTGGAGGACTGAAAGTCCTCCTTAAAGTGCCGACTATATAACTACAGACTATACAGCATCCAGAATAGCGTCTGCCAATGCAAACTTTCGTCTTCGGAATACTTCACAAATTTTTCAGTTGGGTTTAAAACCGAACAAGACGATTACATCATGAAACGTCTGTCTTTGAAACTCATTGTTTTCTAATAATTACGCCGAATGTGACGTCCATAAAAATAATTCTCTTTCTGAATACACTTAGCTGTAACCATGGCTCTACGTAGGCCTTCAAGAGACCAAAATATATCCGAGCTGTTATTTTAACTCCATTTAAAACTTGCTTTGGCTCGATCACTTCACTATCTATTATCCCACCGGAAGACATTTGTAGTGATAACAACAAATAAATCATTAAATAACCGTTAACTCTTAGAACTAGTTCAGTGTTTCTCAACCTTTCTGAGCAACGGTACACCTATGAATAAATAAAAATATCAAGGCACACTTAGCAAAACTTTTAAAGGGTATACATTAAGGAAAATTTTAGAATGTTAAATTTAAAAAAATAAAAATACTTTATAAAAAATGAATATTAAAACAAAGAATTTAAAATAACATAATCGAAGAATATTGAAAAGAATTATTTGAAAAAGTTTAATACTTATTCATTTATTCAAATATTAACACTGGAGCATTACTATTTCTACACGCACATATATATGTATGCCGTGACAATATTTCGCGGCACACTTAAGAGGACACTAGTATGCCGCGGCACGGCGATTGAGAATCACTCTACTAGACTATGTACGATTATGAAACCAAAATAATAAATAATTAATACTAATAAAAAAATTAAGTTAAATAATAAAATTACTTTAAAATATAGATAAGAATTATTAACAATAAATGAAGAAAAAGTTAGATTATAAAGAAAATAGTTAAATAAATACGAAAACTCCCATCGTGCACCGGAGCAGGCAATTTTGCCGCCAACTGAAACAAAAATCAAATTTTCTCTCTCTTCATCTTCAACAGCCAAACAAAGTAGATATACGGGAACAGCGCTCCGATAGCACATGTTGCCACCAAACAGATAAGCAAAAACATTTTATCGCTGTAAACGAATATGCAATTAAAAAATAAATTTTTCTGCAATGTATACGAAAGCCTTTTATCCTTTTTGTTTATGCTTATATTTTATTTGTAATTTATATATTTCCGTTATGGGGATGATGATGTTTTTTTAACCTCAAACAAAATTACACACACACACACACATATACATGAGATAACGATATGTATTTGTATATATCAAGAACAATATTAGGGAAAATGTATGACAGGGTGGAAAATTATTTACATTATTCGGACTATTGTCCTCATCTTTGTCGCCATATTTATCACAACGTTTTGGCCGTTGTATGCTCCGGCCTTCTTCAGGTGGTTGGAATTTCGAACCGAACCCTTTATTTCGCTCACTGTTAGACTGTTCTAGTTCCATGATTGATGGATGTCAGTTATCAGTTATCTCCTGCTAATTTCCCTCTGAAATTTCTCCACTGCCTTAACCGGGTATTGAACTCACACTCTTCGGGTCCTGTCACTGGATCTAACCAACGCCTAACCAACCAATCATACCCACTGTGCCATGTGTCCTCAAGGACACATGGCACAGTGGGTATGAATTTCTGGGTATTATAAACCTAATGTTTTGAGCAACCATTTTTACCAGTGCTCATATTGCAATTTTGCTGTCATCATTCTATGTTTTTACCAGAGCTCATATTGCAACTTTGTGTTATCATTGCTTTTCTCTGGCACTCCTTATTACTGGTTCTCATATTGTATTTTTTTCTATGCTTGGTCGGCACAGGAGATTTTTGTGGCCTAGCATATGTGCTGGTTCCTTAAGTTTACGAATTTTCCAATGGTGTTCCTTGTCTATGATCCCAACATGATGCCACAGAGGGCGGTGATCTCCCTTCTCTCTCCATATATGATCAGCTATGCCAGATTTTTCAACTTCCCCTCGTGTTACAGCTTTCTGGTGTTCTTGAAGCTTTACCTTGAGGGGGCGGCCTGTCTCTCCTTTATATTCCTTTCCGCAGAAACATGGCACGTGGAACTAGAACAGTTTACCCTGGTGAGCGAAATAAAGGGTTAGGTTCGAAATTCCAACCACCTGAAGAAGGCCGGAGCGTACAACGGCCGAAATGTTGTGATAAATATGGCAACAAAGATGAGGACAATAGTCCGAATAATGTAAATAATGTACATAATACCTCATCTCAGAAATATAGACAGACTCTCAAGGTGGAAAATGTTTACTTGTGACGCGTTTCGTCCTTCAGGACTTTATCGGACTAAATTTATGTTGGTATGACTACACATGCGCACGAAACAAGGGTGCTGGGTAATTTTAGAATTTTTTTTTGTATCTAGCAAAATTCAATTAGAGTCTTTTCCTTTTTCTTTCCATCACTTTGTTAGTAGGTATCCCATCCTATGATAATATAAGATCTACCAGGAATTGCGAAATGTTTTACGAGCCCGGGCGCAAATTTACTGTAGATGACTTTTCCATCAAGGCACTTTCTAGACATTTACGTTGTAGTGAATTGATTTCTCCATTGATCGGAGTAGCATTTTTTATGCCAAAATTGTGGTTAGTCTTTTTACGGTGGGCAACCAACGTTTTTGATGTATTATTTTGCAAAATGTCTCTTTTGCGTTCATATAATCTTTCATTTAGATACCTTGAGGTTTCTCTTGTGTATTTATTGACAATTATGGCAGGCGATCGAGTAAATTCATCCTTGAACTTTTAGCTTATTGTTTTGTTTAATATTGGCTTTTTTTTTTATTGTTTTAGATGTAGTAGTAAGAAATTTTATGTTGAGTTTAGATAGATTCTTTCCAATTGTAGATTTGTTAGAGTTAGGACAATATATTTTTTGATTGATTGGATTTGTCAGGAGGGTCGTTTTTGTTTTGGATTATTTTTGTTTCGTATTGAATATATATATATATATATATATATATATATATATATAAGAGGTATCTTCAAACAAGGCCAGCGTATCACAACAATTCACAACACATTATCATTTCCACCTTGTTGACATCTCAACCTGCAAGAACGTTTTTCACCAGTAACCAATATAGCATTCGTCACCGAAAAGAATGGTTGAAAATAGGTTTACATGCATTCTGCTGTCCATTTTATTTTATAGGTCTTACATGTTTATTACTTGATTTCACATCTGAAGTTGTTAACCATTTCTCTTTATCCGTCAAGTCAGTCTTACAACATGAAAATCTCAATGGTTTTTAATATGATACTTTAAATATTCAGGACCAATGGGTGCCGTTTACTTACACATGCGCAGAACGAACCGACTTTAATCCTAACTGCATACATAGATATTGCTATCATTCAGCACCGAAAGTTTTAGATTCCAGTAAGCATTTAGAGCTATAAAAGCAGACATCTTAAAAAGCAATTCATAAAAAAAAATAGGGAGTAACAAAAAATATATAATACTGTAAAATGGCAACATATAATGTGGATATCGTGTTTGTAGGATTTTTACTGGAAACTTTGGAATAAAACGGACTGACTAGAGGGTATAAAATAAATGATATATTTTTATTCATTTTCTTTAGAGTGATAAGTGAGTCCTTAGATATCCGTTGTCACAAAATTGTTCGTTTATAAGGCGGTTATTGTTAGTATGAGTGGAGAAAGTCTGGAGATGATAATTTGTGAAGTCAGACCATGATAGGGGGCAACAGTAATATTAGAAATTAGGTCAGTGTCAATCTACTTTGTTTTTTCTATGCCCGAAGCAGGGTAGAAATATCATTAGCAGATGACCTCTTAACTACTACTTCACGCGCCACGCATGACTGGTTTCTCCGAGGTAGCGTCTCCGTTCGTCACTTTTGCTGTCTCTTCTGTTTTTAGCTCAGAGGTGTCAGTTTATATCCACTTGACCAGGCCTCGAGACTCTGGCGCGAACATTGGCTTCAGATAATATTAAAAAAAAAAAAAAATCATTGTGTCAGTTTGGACAAAATTATTTTATTTTCCGGCGTTCCTTTCTTTTTCATTTTATTTATAACGGAAGTTATGCGTGTAGCATCCTAGAGTTTTTTTTTTATATTTTTCAGTCAGAAATAAGTGAGCTCTGATCTTGCAAACTTTCGGCGTTTTTCGTCCCGCTTCAGGCTTTTCTTCCTTTTATTTGAGGGTTGCCTTTTCATAGACTGACAGAAGTATAGAAAGAGAAGTTTAGAGAGAAAGGAAGAGATAAGGGAAAGCGTAAAGGCCTTAATTTGAATGCTTTTTATTTTTGTTT